ATTTTCAAGTTTCTGCTTTAGTTTTGAGCTGTTGAATGCGTGTTTTCAAACTAGTACCCAGGAATGTTGCGAGATTTTGGCTTATTTTTCACATTTAAAACAGCAATAACTCGAAAACCGCTTGAAAATCCCAACTAACCATTTAAATGACTTATATGTAGTTTTTTGTTAGCTTTCTATTGATGCTAGTCATTTGTATTAGATATGTATCAGAAATTTCAATTTTTGCAAAATTCGAAGAGAAACGTGTCGGCAGGAGCCCACAAGAAATTTTAACGCGGCCAACATACAGAAACGTACTTACTAGTCTTCAGTGCACAGTATGAAGGCAAAATGGAATTGTCCCACGATATAGTAAGTTTTCCATAATTTTGAACCTCCGGCTGCCTGACTAAATTGGCAAGAAATTATTTAATGAGATTAAAATATGCTAATACACTAAAATGATGCTTCTGATGCTTCAATTTAACACGGCATTGAAAGATCCTAAAATTGCAGCTGAAATGAATTTTATCATCAAAATCTAGTTCAGCTCATGCAATAAGTTCGGGAATACATGATATCGCAATTTTTCAAAAAGTTCGAGTTACCTAACTGGGTGGTAATGAATTATCCCACGCACTCAATTTATTCTAAATAACACACATGCCATGACGTTTAAGTGACTGTCTAATGATCATGAATATTTAATTGAGAAAGGCTAATTTAAATACAACGTTCATTCATCTGCCAACTTTCATGTTGATTTGCTGAATACTGTTTTCATCTCCTGAATGAAACTTTTAATAGCAGATCTTGAGTATTCATTTGTGGTAAGTTTTCATATAGTTTATTTAAAATTTATATATTTGCTCTTCTCATTTTTAGAATTACATTTACGAATTTCTCTCAATACTCTGAACAAAAGCAAAAATATAATGTAAATTAAGTCCAAACTAATTTTGCATATTCTTGTCCAGATATACTGCTTTCTAGTTGACAGGCGTAGAAATACTGAGCTATACGTTTTATTTACAATAAATTTCTGAAGCGTTTAGATTTAAGATACCTCCATCCGTTTCGAGCGAGATGTTTTGGCCGTCGCGTTTTCGTCAGTAATTAGCTATCTGTCTAATGGCTTTACTCGGCCGCGTATAGCTATAGTTTTTGCCACTACGGCATTTTTTTAGTGTAATTTTGTTGTAAACCAAACTCATGCAGTGGATATCGTGTTTGGTTCTATGTACGTGCTACAACAACTTTTCCAAAGATTTTGAGTGCTTTGTTTCGAATCGTCATACAAGAAGTATGCCTATATCCAGCATGCTGCTGTCCAAAATAACAATATTCCTCGGCTGTCCCAAAACATTAGTTCCGATCGTTTGCTAAACAATAATATCGTTAATTTAAAGTAAGTAGATCGACTATGTGGATCTTTTGCTCATTTGATGCAAAGTTGGCTTAAAGCAATTCCTGTAGTTTCGCTCATGAGAACTGGGGCAGCCATGCACATGCAAATAGTTAATATAGACACTGAATTTTGCAATATTTTTTACCTTGACGCCCATTACCTGCAGAAATTGTTGGCAAGTTAAAATGAATTCGCACCAATGCAAAGACAAGTGCTGAATGATTAGACGAACATTTCTACAAGACTTTCAATAAGTTCTTTGAACAAAAGAAAAAAATAATTTTGGTAAAAAAATCATATCATATTCATATTCTATATTCTAGCATGTAATAATTATTATTAGCATACTCATTAAAAATTCATAAACTCTGTGGCAAATCATGTCAGCCATAACATGTCACATGGAATGACTTTATATCTGATAAAACTTATCTTCATTTGTATTCTTTATATAAATGTTCATCCTAATTAGTATGATTATATAATTGTTCTTCCTAATTAGTATTCTTTTGTAGTCGTATTTTAAGCTGTTCAAAACACTCGAACTCGCGTTTTATCATATCTAAAACGCTCGGCTACGCCTCGCGTTTTCCCCGAGCCGACGGCGCGAAGCGCCGTTGGAGGGTACTAATTCCCCCCCGGCTATTTACACCCGGGGAAACGAAAGCATTAGCGAAGTCCAAAGTTCATCAAATATCGCGGGCGTCGGTCACCAACGATGGTGAGTGGGTAGTCATGCTCACTGATCTCTAAAATATGGCTGATTGCGTGTAGGAGTGGGATGAGCAAGATTTCAATTTTAAAAGACATATATTTGAAAAATACAACAAGCTTAATTAAAGCAATTTTGTTTGAAGAGATGAGAAGAATAGATTTACTATGGGAAATCGTGAAATATACGGCAAGTTTCCTTTGAATATTTAATGTTTACGAATTTTGTTTCTTTAATTAACTTTTTGCCTAAAAACATGAACTGTTTCCCTTTTCAACGAAGCTCTAAGTTTCATAAATTACCGTTTAATTTGAGGAAAAATCTTAAAATGTAAAGGAGAACAAATTGATTTGAAGACTGAACTGAAATTATCTAACAATTTGTTTTATTTGTAACTTATTATGTTTTATATTTAATTTATTAGTTTATCGGCAAATGAACTATAGTTGAATGAAGATTTCAAAACATTTTACGAAGCGTTTCAAGTTAAATTTTACATTAAATCAAAGCTTACAAAATGCAAAATAATATACCTACAGTATATAATATGGAAATTTATTGTTGTATAGTTAAAAGTACGAATCTTTGAACTATTTTGCAGTTTTGTACAAAAAATATGAAAAATTAAAAATTTAAGAATATCGTGTTGTCATGGCAACACTTGAGCGCGAGCCTGCGTCCAGTGGGCCATTTCTGAATACTTCATGTTAATTTAATGTTTGGAAAATATTGGCGAGGGGTTACTGCATGCATGTATTTCTAGTAAATATGATAAAACACTCTTTCACGTGGTTTGAATACTACATAATGTTGCAGTAATAAATTTACGTCGTGTTTCCACAAACAATAGTATATTATAAGGCTTTCATTACCGAAGTTTTTCTTCAGCTGCCGAAGATAAAATTAGAATGTAATTATATTATGATACACCCACTTGTTCAACTATGTTTTACACTTCAGTCACGTAACAATGAGAAATTTCAACGGCTTTGTAGCTTGCCTTTGTTTCTGTGTTTCAAATAATTTTCTTTGTCGTTGCTAGAGGTCTTGAAGGTATTGACTTATGCTGGAAATGTTGAGGTTTTCATGTGTTTCAAATAGTAAAAAATACAATACACCTTTTACGATGTTGATATTTGTGTGAAGGCCGCACATTTTTCTAAGTGGGTGACTGTTCATGCAGGTCATAGAACTTAGTAAATAATTGTGTTTGATCACAGTTATTTTAATAGATGGTTTGGAGACTCGATGAAAGTACAATATAACTCATTAACTATGTTATTGGCCAGCTTTATGCAAGAATTTTGTCCTATCTCGTCACGTGTGTACTGTGTGTATTGTATTTACGCTCAAATAACCAATAACAAGTTTGTGGTTGAGTTATCCATCCGTAACTTGAACAAATGCTCAATTTAAACATTGCTATTGGTTGTGCGGGGGAAAATACAATACACACGTGACGAGATAGGCCCAAATTCTTGCATAAGCCGAAACCAACATAGTTAATGAGTTATATTGTACTTTCATCGAGTCTCCAAACCAAGTATTCTATTAACTGTGGTTTGATGTTTGTGCTGTTTTGCATTGTATTGTATTGTATTGCGTTGCGTTGAGTTGTGCTCTATTGTTTTGTGTTGTGTTGTGTTCTATTGTGTTGTATTGTGTTGTGTTGTGTTGTGTTGTGTTGTGTTCTATATTGTGTTCTATTGTAAAATTGTTAAATAGATATTGAATAGACTCCGCAGCCTTTTAATCTTGAATAGAGAGAGTACTAATTATTTCGTCTATTTATCTCCGTGAAAAAAACAAGAACAAGAGGATTGAAAAGTCCACCATGCAGGGTTGGAGTTATGATTTATGGGTGTTATAGTCTGTCCCATAAAACTAGTTATTTTATTCTACGTAATCATGCAGCTAGGTTGATATATTTATTATGGTCCAAGCATAGCGTCTGCTGCTTGTAGATTGGGCTACCAATAACTTTTTGCCACAACGCAAAGGAACACAATGAACGAAAAGTTGACAAACTTTAATATTATGATATTTCAAATTGATCAATCGTAAAAATAGTATACTGTACAATGTCTATGTTGCAAATAGTATAAGTTAATTAATGCATATAAGGGTGTCCTCCGACAAAGCTAAAAGGAAAAAGCCAATTAAGCGCGAAAGGGCATGATGGGGGTGACTAGTTTGGATTAATTAACTGCGTTTAGTAAATACCTATTTTCCCTAATTTAACCGGCATCGATATCACTAAAGTTTACGTAGCTTGACAGTGATTGCATTTGAAGTCGACGTAATGTATGTCATAAATCACAAATATCATATTCACCTGAGTACACAACACCAACGCGGAAAAAAATCGTAATGTATGTAATTCATACTTCCATGTTTGTTTACAAAAAAGTTACTTGTGAAATACATGGTCTATGCAATAAAGTTGTTTCTTTCAAATTAGACATAAACCCTTTGTAATTAACATCTGGGTGATCATGAATAACACCAACACAGAAAAATTCATGATCACCTATAGATTGCATTGATATCGAAGGAACTAGACTCAGTTCCGAAATATCACACACTCGAACCGACCTGACGACCAGGGCCGCAGAGAGGTTGGCGGGGGCCTGGGGCAAATTTTTCTTGGGGGCCCCCTATCCTAAAATTTTTTCCGGAGAACAACCTACCCTCTTCCCCCCAACACACCCCCGTCTTTATCTCATTTTTTTATGCCAAATTTCGTTCCTTAGCCCAAGAAAACAGATATCTTGTCCTTTGCGCGGAAATATTTAACACACAAAAAAGACTGGGGCACAACAAAAAATTTTCAGGGGCCTCCAGCAACTCGGAGCCCGGGGCAATTTGCCCCTGCCCCCTTCTTTCGGCGGCCCTGCTGACCACGTAGCTCAGTTGGCAGAGCATTGGGCTAGTATTCCAAAGGTCCAAGGTTCGATTCCCACCGTGGCCAGGCATATTTTTTAAGCTTGCACGGATATACACTAAGAGTAACATCACAAAAATCATATTCACCAGAGTGCATAACACCATCACAGAAAAATTCATATGAAAATTTATCAATTGCCGCGATAAAATTCAAACCCTGATATATATATATATATATATATATATATATATATATATATATATATATATATATATATATATATATATATATATATATATATTATTCGCACATTACAGCAAGAATTTCCAAGGCCAAAAGATAAGCTAGACATCAACCGTACAAGGGACATCGTTTATAAAATTCAATGTTCTGCTTGTGATTTTACTTATTATAGTCAAACCAACCGAGCACTGAAAACAAGAATAAAAGAACATAAAAGAGCTGTTCAATATAATGATAAGAATTCCAAGATAGCCCAACACGTTGAGCAATATGACCATAATATGGACTTTGAAAACACCGAAATAGTTAGTAGAGAGAAAAATTATCGCAAACGATTGTTCCTTGAGGCTTGGTATTCCCAAGTGGGCAAAAGTTCTGGCAAAGACCATATTGAGATTCCAGACGTTTATGGGTCACTGATACATCCAAATTAATAGCTAACGAAACGTATAAATAGAGGCCTGTTTATTGGCTTCTTAGTTTTTAATATCAACTGACGAAGATCGGAGGTTTCTGATCGAAATTTCTTGTAAAAACTTTTTATAAACGTGATTACGTTTTTTACATAGCTAGTGACAAGAAACTTTTAATTAACTTTAAATATATATATATATATATATATATATATAAACAACCCGTTTATATATATATATATATATATATATATATATATATATATATATATATATATATATATATATATATATATATCTTAAAATCTCGTCACATGATGACCCCTATATACCGTGATATAGGTCGGTGTGTGCTGATTTAAAATTCATATACAGACCACATGTACCTTTATGATAAAGGTACATGTACCTTTATAAAGCATTCTTTAACAAAATGTTTATTGATCTGTTCCTAATAAAAACTCAAATATTCGAGAAATCAATAAATACTTTATTTTTCAAAATTAAAATTAATGTTACAATTGTTAAACACGGGATTAACAACCCTTTCATTTTGATTACACACCACTTTAAACTGTTTAAACCCAACAAACTTGCTCAACTAAAATTCTAAAGACGCTTCATTCATCTCCGCGAGCGATGTAGTTAATGTCTGGATTGGGCCAATATCATCAGTTTCATGACCAGCGTCGTCGATCTTCACTTCTTTAACCTTCTAGCAGCTCTCCAGGAATCAAAAATCGTCAAAACCCACTTTGTCACGTAGCTATCTTGTACTTGGCGGCATCGCTCTTTCGAGCAACGTTTGCTCCTCTTCAGCACTTCGAGCGCTTCGAAACCGACTCATTAACAAAACAAGTCAAATATGTTCAAATTTCCATTTGAAAAATCCGTTTAACGACTTGTATGACTTGACAATTAATCTAGTCATTAATTTGCTTGCTGATCAATGAAGGGAAGAATCGTAAAACAATGAACTATTGTAGTTAGCATTTCTTATTATTTCATTGGGACCCAAAACAAAAGGTGAATTTTAGAAGTCATTTATAAACCTCGTGATTGGGCTTTATCGGTGCCTATAGCCGCTCGCCTTCGGCTCGCGTCTATATGCACCGATAAAGCCCTCTCACTCGGTTTATAAATAGTACATATATATATATATATATATATATATATATATATATATATATATATATATATATATATATATATATATATATATATATATATATATATATATCGTGTTCAAAATGAAAAAAATAAAAAATAAAAAATTTTAAAAAATTTAATGTGCTGCTACTTAAGTTTCACGTATTACCGATCGTCAGACAGCAATAGATTATGGTGCACACGAGCTTTATATACTAAGCTACCGTGCTAATTACATAAATAAAACCTATTGGGACCTATGCGAGTGTTCAACTAAACTGATTTAAAATTTAAAACTTAGTAAATTAATTTAAAACCTACTTAAAGTCTATACGTAGTTGTTAAAACCTCTCGAGCAAATAATTTATGTTATCTCGTTCTTATAATTTTGTATGTAAAATTTGTTTTCATGTCTACACTTGGAGATAAGTTCGTCTCGTGTGTTCAAGAGGCGTGCGTTTCGTCCTTTCAAGATGGCTAGCTTTTCACAGAGGCATAATCCGCATTTGTTGGATCCGTTGTTGTA